CCGAAGGGGATGGCAGGGGGCCAGGCCAGCGCTGCTGCATACCACGCGCAGGGAACGGCGGCCGCGTTTTCCCCTGAGCGCGGCGGCAACGCCTGCAGCCGGTAGGCTAGCGAAACCGCTCCCTCCTTCGTACTCATGGAGCAGAGCATCAGCACAGGGAGAGCGAGCGACCCCGAGATCCAGAGGGCAGAAGTGGAGCATGGCTTTGGCCACGCTCAGATGCTTAAAAGTGAGCAGCGCCTTAAGTGCTGGTAGCCGTCAAACGGCGAAACAGCCCAGAAATCACAGAAAACGTGAGCACTAGGGAGCAGATTTCTTCTGGGGAGCCCAGAAGTCCTTTGTGCTTGCCCGATCTGACGTACCAGGGCATAAGAGCATGTGGTTTTCCAGCACAAGAACTGGTCGGCCCCACTTTGGGCCAAGGAAGGGCTGTGAGACAGTCCAGCACAGCCTTTTCCCAACAGTTTTGTTATGAGGAAGGCTCTGGTCCTCTTGGACCTGCCCTGCCTCTTGGGAGCTCACTCTGAGACAGAAGCACCAGGGGCAAGAGGGAAACAGCTTCACCTTGAGCTGGAAGACAAGGAATGGCAGGTGGATTTAACGCGCGAAGACTTTGTACGGAAAAGCTTCTGAGGGGGGAGCTTATGGACATGAGATCCCAGAGGATCTCTGCCTCTGCTGGAGGCCACAAGCCCGTTGGGGCCCATGTCCGATCCTCGGGCTCACCCGTAGGTTTGCTCAGCTCAGAACCAAGACTGGGCGTTAGGTGTCAGGCTTCCCGTTGTGCAACAAAACTCTGTTTCTTATTTTCTATTGTATCACTTAATTGGGAGGGAGACGATTCTTCATCTTTTTTAAAGAGACAAAGGCCCTGGTATTTTATGAAGTAGTTTCTGCCCAAAGAGCTTGCCTTCAAACTGTTCCAGTTCAGTCCTTTGTGGCAGGTGGGTCACACCACAGTTGCACCTGGATCAGGAGATCAGTACACAGCCAGCACCTGGGTTATCTTAATTTGATAATTTGCAGGGGATGATTAAGCTGTATGTCCTGCATTCAGAGTGCTCTGCGCTCAGGCCCTGTCCTGGTGACTGCAGGAGGAGAGCTCATCTGAGCCACGCGTGTGGTCAGAAATCACTGCACAGTAACTTCTGGTTCACAGCTGGATCCGGAGAGGAGTGTTTACCAACTTGTCTGATTTAATTCCTTCTTCCTGGTATTTCCTGTTCCTAGAGAATGAGGGCGGCTCTCTTCC